ATGCTGCTTGGCCTGCTGTGTTCACCCAGCTCTACGCCTTGCTGTCTTATCTCAACGTTTGTTTGCCTCCTTAGTCAGCTTTATTCATAATTTATCAAGCACAGAAGATAATATTATTTGTCTTGTAGAAAATGCTGTTTCCGTGAATATTATTTTACTTTTATTAGTATACTGTGAAATAATTATTTATGCCCTAAATTGATGTCTAAATTACTCTATTCCGAAATAATTTGATAGTAATTTGATTGGGATTTCAGAGGAGATGTAATGACGTATTTTCCTGGGTTATATGCATTGATATCGTAAAGCAGAAGGAAAAAACAGTAAGACTTGTGAATGATGCACACTGGTCCGATTTGTATTGTGTACTTCAAAATAGTGCTCCAGTACAATCAGTACCTTCATTTCCAAGTATTACTGCTAATTTACCAGTTTGGTTTCCCTCTGGGAAGTACAGCGAAAGAGCAGTACTTTATATGAATGTGTCCTAAGCATAAGAGGGCCCCCTGACATTATACAGACTACTCCAAATTCCACAAACCTGTCAGATGTATGTTTCCATACATATTGTCGTTTCACTACAATTTGTGGGGTGCTGGCACTTCTGCTGAGTTACTTGGAAGTCAATGCTAAAGTTCATACACACACATGCCCACCATCAGCTTTTTATACGTCACAACAAGAAAGCTTTTCTTCTCGGATTAGATCTGACAGTGACAATCATTAGGTCAATTGGAAGGCACAATATGGGAACTGTAGTGGGGTTGGTGAGAAGTTGCAATTATGTGCTCAGAACTAATCAAGCAGTTGGAGGGAGAACTCAGGAAATATGGAACAATTTCATGTGCCATTGGCTATACAAAAAACTGAGAGAGGAAAGTCTTAGACAAATTCTGAGAATTCAGGTAAGTGGATGCGAGGGATGTTGTTTAGCTTTGATCCTATTGGATGGTGCAGCAGACTTGAAGGGCTGAATAGCCTACTTTGTTCCTGGTCCTATTCCTTGTAGTCTTATAACCCTAACCTTTATTAAGTGGCTTTGGTTGATATTCATCTTCAAATGGGCTTTATTCACCAAATGTGTTGGAAGAATGTAATTTTATTAAGATGCTGTGGACTAAATAACTCATTCCCAGAAAATGGAAACAGGAATTGCAATGCACAATTAACCTTTATTGTGTCTGCTAAGTTGATCCCTTCCTCCTCCTCATCCTCTGATAGTCACCTATAAGCTAGAGGCATGTACCTCATGATGGTGAGGTTGTGCAGACATGCTACTGTACAGTGAATCAGGCAGTGAATACATTATATAAGCACAGACATAGTCAGCTGGATCACACTTCTTGTGCAAGCATGGCTCTCTTTGGATGTTTGTTGCCCAAATGTTTCTGAGCTGTGCATTGAAATCATGAGTCATATCATCAAAAAATAGCCCTTCTAATTCAGGAAACAACCTTTGATTTATCATGGTAGTTCAAATCTGTTTTCTTTTTTAATGGAAGTCAAAATACTCTAGTTGTGAAGATCTGGAATAAAAACAAAGATTACTGCAACCACTGAGAATCTTGTAATGAAAGGTGAGTGGGCTGCCAACTAAGAAGACAAAAATTGCAGTTATGATAAAGCAGCACATGACTTTGACCACTGCTGCTCCCAGCCAATGAAAGAAATTTAATCTGTTCACCAGTAATTCTACTGTTTCTTGCTATTGGCTTAGACTTTTTGAAAGAATATCGTTGTAATTTGGTCTCAAGACAGGGATTCCATGGACTTGGTCCCAATGTTTTATTATTAGTATTATTAAATGGATATTTAATCTAAACTTGACTCATTACACATTTCTAAATTTAATGTTTTTGTCCTTAAGTTTGTTCTGCACCACATTGCTGCAAAAAAAAACTATCGTCAGTACAAACAAGAAATTCACTATGTTTCTGATTGATGCTTGGGGTATAGCCGTGCCAGCTCATTATGCTGTATGAACTGCTGCTCATAATGAAAGTTGCTGCCACCATCCTGTTGAAATGTATGAAACCACAGGGTCAATTTTGTCCAGTGTGGACAAGGAAATCTACTTCTTGGCATAACTAGAAGAGTCTCTTGTCGTTAACAAAATATAGTCTTTTGCATATTAGCAACTAGCCGTTTACGTTGAAGTGAACAACATTGTTATAGAGACTTTGGGGTGGACTAGATTTTAGGTTTCACTCTTTCAAGATCCTAATTTGTTCTTTCCACAATTCCATATAACATATAACAGCCAGTAACAGCATTCCTCATTATTAACCCTTTCAGATGCATCTAATCTATTTATCCCAATCAAAATGAAAATAAATCAGGATATAGAAAAAGCTTGCAAGAAAGGATGGAAAATGAGGCTGAAGAAGTCATAATATAGAACAAAGAAGTTGCAGAGGAATTGTGTAAGTTCTTTGAATCAGTTTTCACAGTGGAAGACACAAGCAGCACACCAGAATTTCAAGAGAGTCAGAAGGAGAGGTGAGTGTAGCGGCCATCACTAAGGAGAAGGCGCTGGGAAAGCTGAAAGGTCTGAAGGTGGATAAATCATCCAGACCAGATGGACTAAACCCCAGAGTTCTGAAGGAGATAGCTGAGGAGATTTTAGAAACATAAGTGAGCTCTTTCAGGAATCACTAGAGTCAGGGAGGGTGCTACAGGATTGGAAAATAATTAATGTAATACCCCTGTTTCAGAAGAAAGGAAGGCAGAAGCCGGGAATCTATAGGTCTTGTGAGACCTAGTTCAGGATTCTCTTAAGGTTAACATGCATGTTCAGTTCGCAATTAGGAAGGCAAAAGCAATGTTAGTATTCATTTCAAGAGGACGAGAACACAAGAGAGGGGTGTACTACTGAGGCTGTGTAAGGCTCTGGTCAGACTGTATTTCAAAAATTGTGAACAGTTTTGGGCCCAATATCTAAGGAAGGATGTGCTAGCCTTGGAAATGGTTCAGAGGAGGTTTATGAGAATGATCCTGGGGATGAAAGGCTTGTAATATGAGGAGCAGTTGCGGACACTAGATTTGTACTTAATGTAGTTTAGAAGGATGAGTGGGAATTGGATTGAAATTTACAGAATGCTGAGAAGCCTGGATGAAGTCAACGTGGAGAAGATGTTTCCACAAGTAGGAGAGACTAGGACCTGAGGGCATAGCCTCTGAGTGAAGGGATGACCGTCTAGAACTGTGTTAAGGAAGAATTTCCTCAGTTACAGGGTGGTTAATCTGGAAATCATTGCTACATCAGGCTGCAGAGCCCAAGTCATTGAGTGAATTTAAGACAGAGATGGAAAGGTTCTTGATTAGTAAGGGGATCAAGTGTTATGGGCAGAAGGCAGGAGGATGGAGTTGAGAAACACATCAGCCATGATTGAATGGTGCTCGGGACTCGACGGGCTGAATGGCTTAATTCTGCACCAACAACTTATGATGTTCTGGAAAGGTAAAAACCACAGTTAAAACCACTTTTCCTCAACAAACCTGTCTGACTTGTTGCATATATACCACTTAACAGCTGCCTGGGGTGAAGTTCAATACATAACTTTTACAAAGGAGTCAAAGCCTAATTATTTACTGCATTATAACGTTTTAACTGCTTGCTTATCTCTTGTTTTCTCCTCTGTTATTGAAATTATTTTATCCGTACTTTTGGTCCTCTCATCTAAGAAAATATATTATTTCATTGGAGGCAGTTCAGTGAAGGTTTAATAGGATAAATTTCCCAGTAATGGAGGCATTGTCTTAAGAGCAAAGGCTAAACAGGTTGGGACTCTACTCACTCAGTTTAGAAGATTGAGAGGTGATCTTATTGAAATGTACAGGATTCTCAAGGAAATTGTCAGAGTAAGTGATGTAATGTCATCAAGATGGTGGCAGAGTAAGGCTTTTGTTTTCCTCCCCACAGAATCCCTACAGTGTGGGAACAGGCCCTTTGGCCCAACAAGTCCATACCAACCCTCTAAAGAGCATCACCCTACTCTTTCCCTACAACCCTGCAGCTAACACACCTAACCTATACATCCCTGAACACTATGGCAATTTAGCCTAAACATCTTTGGGAGGAAACTGGAGCACCTGGAAGAAACCCATGCAGACACAGGGAGAATGTGCAAACTCCAAACAGTCACCTTAGGCTGGAATCAAACCCAGGTCCCTGGCGCTGTGAGGTAGCAGCGCTAACCACTGGGCCACCCCATCACCTACACTTTTCTTGGTTTTTTCTTTCTTTTATGGTTTCCTTTACTTACCTCTTGTCTTGAGATCAGATGGCATCTTATATTTCTGGGGCAAGCACAAGACCTGTCTCCAAATAAAGAGTCTTCAAGTAAAGCTAAGATGAGGAGGATTTTTTTTCACTCTGAGGGTTGTGAATCTTTGGTAACATCTTGCTGCAGAGAACTGTGAGGGCAGAGTCCTTGTGTATACTTAAGGCCAAGATAGATTGATTCTTATCAGTATGGCAACCAAAGGCTATGGGCAAAGGGCAGGAAAATGGATATGAGGAGTGTCTGATCATCTGTAATCCAACTGAATGGTGGAGCAGACTGGAGAGGCTCAATAGCTACCCTCTGCTACTATTTCTTATGGATCTAATTACTAATTTCTTTCCCCTTGCTGTATGTACATACATATGGAAACACCTTCTGGCTTCTCCAATTTTTTTTATATGTTTTAGAATTGATGTTATGTAATTGGAACAGTGTCCACTAAGACCAATTGTTGCTGTTGACTTCTGAATAAGGGTCCCTGGACTCGAATCGTTCATTCTGATTTCTCTCCACAGACTTGATGAGCTTTTCCAGCATTTTTTGTTTTTGTTTTCTTACTGCTGGGCCTGTGCTGTGCTGTACTGTACTGTACTGTAACTGTTCTATGTTCAAAGATGAACTGGGAACAGTTGCAATTTTATATTGGCAGAGAGCCGCGACGTGCCCTTTAAAAGCGATGATCCCTTTAAATGGAAGGTACCACATTTTTAATCCGGGTAAAGGTTGAGTTTCTCCGAGAAATTTAGCGCCGCCGGTATTTTAACGAGAGGAATGTTTTGTTTTTTTTTTGGGGAGCGGAGTGTGTGATGCACGGGGTGGTGGTAGAGATCGGGACAGGGGTCTGGACCGGTATCGGTGAACACGCGGGTGGAAGAGTCCGGAAAGATGGCAGCCACCATGAAGAAAGCGGTGAGTGTGTGTGTGAGAGAGAGAGAGTGAAAGTGTGTGAAAGGGAGGGCAAATGATACAGAAAGTGTGTGTGTGTGTGAGAGAGAGAGAGAGAGAGAGAGAAGCACGAGAGGAGAGATAGAGAAAGAATGCCCTGTACCTGCTATGGGTCCCTTTGTATTTATGTTGGGACAAGTTACGTATACACATTTGAAGGTATTATCTGATTTCTGTATATGGCAACCTGTCTGGTCGCCTCAAGGTGTAAGTGTTCCTACGGGTAGTATGTCAAATGTCAACCTATGTACAACTAAGAGTTTATCTTAAGCCTTTGAGCCCAAATGCTCTGCGGTCAGGTCCATTCGTCTTGCTGAAGCCCAACAACTGGTGCAGGGAAATCAATACGTATTTGTGCCAAATATTAGCAGCGGTGTCATCTAACTGTGAACTCAAACGTGAAAGCAAATACATTGGAGAAAAGTGATTGAAATTTACCTCTACGTGGTATTTAACTTCAACATAGCACCACAAGCCTTCGAGTCCATTCTCAATTTCTCAAACTTGTTTAGCCTATTGGACAAGTTGCAGATGACATTCAAAGCTGTTGAGTGATGCACTTTAGCAGAACGAAGAGGCAATGTTAACCAAACTATAACATTCAAAAGGGCCTTCAGGAACAGAGAGACCTGAAGGAATATGTGCTTCCAGTTTTGCCTAGCAGCGGAGCCCAGGTCTTCTGGTTATTGGCGTGGCGGCGGAGGCAGTGGTGCTGGGGGTTCCTGATTGCAGGGCAACTGTGGTCCTATCACGGGACTTGGCATCAGCAGCCCATTGGCAAGGTGGGCCTAGCAATGAACTGATGGCAACTCTGACATTGGTGGGTCTGGCACGGATGTCGTTGGTCAGCCGGCTCAGGACTTATGGTGGAGGCAATGGAATGAAGATAGACTTTCTTTCAGCTTTATCTTTTTGTTGGCACTGGGATGTGGTGACATTTGATGTTTTTCACTGTATTTTACTGTATTGTTGATTGTGGAGTACGAGGGACAATAAATCATCAATCATTCATTCATTGTTGAAAGGGGCAGGTTGGTTAAGAAGTTGGTTTTATAGATAAATAGCAAGCTGGGCTTTCAAAGTAGAGGCATCATTACAAAAGCAAGGAAATCATGATGAACCTTTACAAAATATTGGTAATAATAGAAGCTATTATTAAAGCTCTTTTATCATAGGATAAGTTCAAGTTTATCAGGCAGAGCCAACATGGGTTTGTCAAAGGGAAATCATGTTTAACCAATTTATTTGAGTTCTTTTAAGAATTATCTTAGGGTTCTTGTGCTGCAATTGTAGAATCCCTAAGTCTGAGATAGGGGCCTGGGTTCAAGTCCTACCTGCTCCAGAGGCATGTAATAACATCTCTGTATAGGTTGATTAGACAATATCTGAAGTACCAGCTCTGGATAAAGGGGAACCAGTGGAGGTATTGTACTTACATTTCCTGAAGGCATTTAATAAGATGCCACATCAAATGTTATTAGGAAAAATAAAAGCTCTTGGTGTTGGCAGTAATATATGGCATGGATAGAAGATTGGCTGGCTAACAGGAAGCAGAAAGTTACAATAAATGAGTCTTTTTCAGGGTAGCAAGATGTCACAAGTGCTGAACCAAATGGGCTGGTGCTTGGGTCTCATCTCTTTACAAGTTATATTAATGATTTGAATGAACAGATCAAAGGTATGGTAACTAAATTTACTGTTGACACAAAGGCAGGAAAGGCATTCTTCAGTGGAGTAGGCCTTCTTAGTCCAGGGCTCATATACTCCGTTTGCTTTTCTTTTTGTTTCCTTTTCCTTTTTCCCCTCGTTTTTGTTTTCCCTTTTTATTTTACTTACCTCTTGGGATGAACTCAATCATGGTAACAGCATCCATTGGTGGTGGCGAGTCGGCTCAGCAGCACGGAATTGTGTGGTGTCTTTGGAGGTGAGTTTGAGTTTCTGACAAGGTGGGCCTAGTGGTGACTCATTGCTGCTGTGGTGGAGGCGAGTTTGGGTTCCCGGCAGTGTATGCATCCAGCCCACATTCGTGGAGACGGCGGCTGCAGAGGCGAGTTGGGGCCTACTGGCTACAATCCTGATGGCGGTGGAGTTGATTTTGGGCTGGTGGTACTCGGCGGCATCAATGGCGTCTGCATTGGCAAGGTCCGTCGAGGACTTATGGCGACAAGGGCATCGGTGGAGGCAAGTTGGCGCCAAAGAGTGGCAACTTTCATTCCAGCAGCAGAAACGCAACAAAGGAGACTCATACTTTGCTACCAGGGCCATGGCCCGTAGCGGAACACTTAACAAGATGGACCGTAAAGTTGAATACCTTTTCTTTATTTCTTCATTTTTCTACTTCTTTTATATTCTATGTTTTGGTTTATTTTTCCGTAGTTTAAGATGGAGCTGGGGAGTGGTGACACTATACAACACTTTTCACTGTATTTTGTAACGACGCACATGCAACAATAAATAAATCAAATCAGAAAAGTGAATTTTGAAAAGGACATGAGCATACAAAGGGATATAGATAAGTTAAGTGAATTGGCAAAGATCTGGCAAATGGAATATAATGTGGGAAAGTACCAAAATAAACAATTTTGCAGAAATAATACAAAAGAATCATGTTATCTCAATGGTGAGAGGTTTTAGTGTTCTTAAATGCAGAGAGATCTGTGTGCCCTAGTGCATAAATTATGGAAAGTTAGTATGCAGGAACAATAAGTGATCAGGATAGCTAACAGAATGTTATATTTTATTGTGAGGGAAATTGAATCCAAGAGTGGGGAGGTTATGCTTAGTTATACAGGGCATTCCTGAGATTGCATCTTGAGTGCTTTGTACAGTACTGGTCACCGTACTTACAGAAAGATGTGAGTGCTCTGGAAGCAATTCAGAAAATATCTACTGCACCAATACCTGGAATGACGGGATTGCCTTATGAAGAAAGGCTAGGCAGACGAGGCCTATATCCTCTAGTGTTTAAATGATTCAAATGTGACATAATTGAAATGTATCAGATCCTGAGGAGATGTGAATTGGTGGAAGGGGAAACAATGTTTTCTCCTGTGGGAGCATCTAGAACTAGGGGTCATAGTTTTATTTTAAATGCCCATTTAAGATAGAAATGAGGAAAAAGAAAGGAGGTTTCTGTCTCTTTGGAAATCCCTGATAAATTATCAGGGGTATGCATGAATGTAGACTTGAGGTTAAAATCAGATTAGCCATGCTGTTATTGAATGGTGGAGCAGGCTCAAAAGCTGAGTGGCCTGCTCTTGTTCTGTGTTCATATATTGGCAGCTAGAATTGAGAAGGAGAGTCCGTTTTAGGACAGAGATGAGGTTATTGTTTTTTTCTCAGAGGATCTTTAGAACTCTGTCCCTTAACAGGTGATGAAAGGAGAGTCGTTGATTTTTTTTTAAAGCAGGAGCAGTGAGATTCTTGCTTAGGAACGTGGTGAAGGTTATCAGAGGTAAGTGGGAATGTGGCTATGAGGTTAGAATGAGAATAATCATGATGTTGCTAAATAATAGGACTGTCTCAAAGGGCTGAATGCCAATGCCTCCTTATTTGTATGCTGTTATGTACCTTATTGAGATTATTACCTTATTGAAATTTTTGCAATTGAGATATTATGTATTTTACCATTATCATTGCATTCAATTCATTGCAAGTTTATTATCTTTAAATTCTTAATGATGAACAATGAATTTGTTCATATCCACATCCGAATAGACCATTTTAAATGCTGATGTCTGCTGAACCTATTCAGTATTCCATGATCATCTTCAATGCAGACAATACGGCAGGTAAATTTCTCTGCACAAATCCTGTCTGAAACGCCACTGCCTATCCCCTCCGCCCTGAACTCTAACAACAAGTGCCAGGAGCTCATGGACTACTTTGAATTGTCTCAACCTTGGTGACCATCAGCTGTCTGCTCTGCAAGCTTCCCTTCCATGAGTCCACCTGGCCAAAACTCCATTAATATCTTTTCCCACCACCACACACCCCACCCCCCCACACACACACACGACCCTGAATGTTTGTGTTTTTTTTTTCTCGTTGCTTTCTTATCTTCTTTAGTGCCCTCACTGAGTTCACCTTGTCCATGAGATCTGTAACATAATCCAATTACCATTAAATGCTTGATTTTTAACTTCCCTCCTGGTCCCCATGTTGGCCAGCACTGTAAACTGGCCTTTTTTCTTAGTGATGTCCTTTCCTCTTTTAATATTCCTCTCCTTTAAGCATCTTGTCCCCACCCTTGACTCCAACATCTTTACAAGATATTATTCCATGTTACCGTTCCTTCTATTCAAAATTCTTGAATGAGTTTTCATTTTGAGTTTGATTTATTGTTGTGACATGCACAAGATACAATGAAAAGTGTTCTTTTCCGTGCTATGCAGGCAAATCGTACTATATAAAGTGCATCAGGTAGCAGAACAATGCAAAGTTCAATGTTACAGCCACAGTAAAGATGCCGAGAGAGAGAGGGGGAGAGATCAGAATTAACATTTGAGAGGTCCATCCAAAAGTCTGATAACAGCAGGGAGGAAGCTGTTCTTGAATCTGTTCATGTGTGTTCAAACTTTTATACCTTCAGCCCAACGGAAGAGAGTGGAAGAAAGTATAACCGGGGTGGAAGAGAGAATAAGCGGAGTGGGAGAGGTCATTGATTATCTTGGTTATTTTCCCAAGGCAGACGGAGTCAATGGATGGAACTAGTCTGTTTGATGGACTGGGCTGTGTTCACGATTCTCTAATTTCTTGTGGTCCTGTGAAGCGCCGTTTGCCATACCACGCTGTAATGCATCCTGATAGGATGCATTGTATGGTACATTTTATAAAAATTGGTAAGAGCCCTTATGGACATGCCAAATTTCCTTAGCCTCCTGAGGAAGTAGAGACTTTATTGGGCTTTCTTTACTGTCACGTTCATGTGGATGGACCAGGACCAGGACCGGAAAATGTATTAT